TGATTCCAGGAAGCCCGGGGCAGAGCAACTCTGCCTCGGGCTTGTAAGTCAGAACTGGCGGTCAGTTTCAGCAGCAGCTGAATCTGGACGCCAGTTCCGACTTACATACAGATTCAACTTAAGAACAAACCTACAGTCCCTATCTTGTACGTAACCCGGGGACTGCCTGTATTGTTAGATTTTGTGTGTCTACCTTGTCCACTCACCTCTTTTGGAAACTGTGCTCTGATTGACCTTAATAATAGCCTCTGATGACTGCTAGGCTATTTGTTTAGGGTCTAATTTTGCTTTCTTAGGGAATGCAGGAATGAGCCCTTGAAAATAAATACCCAGAATATCATTTCTATAATTACACTAGACGATTTACCTGGCATTGTATATACATCATTTAAATCATTGCTTTGGGGTGGGACTGGAGATGAGGAATTCAGTATTCAGGTTGCCCTGGGGTATGTCTACACTACCCCGCTAGTTCGAACTAGGAGGGTAATGTAGGCATACCGCACTTGCAAATGAAGCCCGGGATTTGAATTTCCCGGGCTTCATTTGCATAAGCGGGGAGCCGCCATTTTTAAAACCCCACTGGTTCGAACCCCGTGCAGCGCAGCTACACGGGGCACGAACTAGGTAGTTCGAACTAGGCTTCCTAGTCCGAACTACCATTACTCCTCAAATTTGGCGGGCCCAGCTCTTACCGTTTAGGAGGAGTTTTTGAACAGACAGACACACGCAGAGACAGACAAACACACACTTTTAAAAACAGAGTAGATCATCACCTACTGAAGTAACATCAAGTTCAGAACTTGGAAGAATTGTGATGTTACTCCAGATTTAGGCCCACATAACTGGGATTAGAGTCTAGCCCAGGGGTGGGCAATAATTTTGGGTTTGGGGAAGGGGTGGGGCCTAAACTGGAAGGGGGGGGCAGGATGCTTCTGGGCTACCCCACCCCAAACCATGATTGGTCTGGGGGTGGGGAAGCCCTTTTGCCTCCCTCTTCCCATTAGGCATCCATGCCTCCAGCAGGGTGGAAAGAGGCTTCCCACACTCCCCCACCCCCAAGGCCAATCAGGGCCTGGGGGCAGGGGAGCTGCGTGAAGCTTCATTCGCCCTGCCCCGGCCCTGCACAAGCATATGGCACATTGAAGTGGCATGCACTCCTCACAGGGCAGAGGAAACTTCATGCAGCTCCCCCTCCTCCAGGCTAATCAGGGCTTGGGAGTAGGAGAGTGTGTAACGTCTCCTCCACGGGGCAGGAGGAAGTTTCGGGCGCACTCTGGCCCCCAGAGCCTAATTGGCCTGGGGCGGGGAAGTGGCATGTCCAACTTAGGCTGGATCAACCCACTTGGAGGGCCAGATCCAGTCCACAGAGGTCCTTTTGCCCACCCCTGGTCTAGCCCATCATATGTAATTTTTGGACTTTTGATTTAAACACTGTATACTCCACCGTAGTATAAGTATGAAATTCCAATGACTTCAATGGAGCTGCTTCTGTTAACACCAGCTGTGAATCTGGGTCTAAATATCATAGACCAGAAGTAATTAATTTGGAAGATGTGGGGAACAAAAGGCTTAAGTCAAAACTTCTGGCAAAATCCTACATGTTGTACAAGCAAGGACAACTTAAAGATTCTTCACTGTATGTTTTGCAATGTTGCCAATTCCCATAACTTTATCACTAATCTTGACTTATTTGAGGGTATGTAAAGCTTCAAAACTCTAAAATGTGAGCATCTCAACCTTTATTTATTTGATCCAAGTTCATAGCCCACATGGTTAAATAGGGAAGCTTGAAAAGGTGGCCTGAAAGCTCAAAACCAATAGGCAAATAAAATAATACAAAATATTTATTTTTGACATAAACTTCATATTTAAAATCTTTTGGGTCCTGACTCAAGATTTTTAAACATTTGGAGTGAGCACCACTGAGAGGTGGCTATTGGAGGAAGATGTTTGAATCTACATTATTACTCGTCTTCCTGCTATACAGGCAGTCCCTGAATTACGCGGATCCGACTTATGTCGGATCCGCACTTACGAATGGGGCTTTCTCGCCCCGGAGCTCGCAGGCAGCAGGACCGCCCAGAGCGCAGCGGTCCCGCCACCTCGACCTCCGGGGCGAGAAAAGCTGCTCCGGGTGCCCCTGGTCTGCTGGGGACCGTCTCCAGCAGACCAGGGACACCTGGAGCAAAGCCGGGGAGGCGAGGGGTCCCGCGCCTCTGAGGCTTTGCCAGAGCAGCAGACCAGGGAGACGTGGAGCCCCAGCAGACCAGGGAGACGTGGAGCAAAGCCCCCGGCCTGTGGTAGAGCAGGTGGGGCGCTGCCGGTTGGTCCCGCAGCACCGCTCCTTGGCACTACTGGACCAACCCGGCAGCACCCCAGCTGCTCTGCCCCAGGAGTCCTGATTCAGCCGCTGCATTGTTATGGTTCTGTGAAATAAGGCAATTATAAGGAAAGGGGATAATAAAAAAAATAAACAGAGCAGTACTAAATGTATGTTTTTAAAACTCTGCAGTGTAATTGTAGTTGTGTTGGTCCTAGGATATTAGAGAGACAAGGTGGGTGAGTAACATCATGTATTGCTGACTACAGGAAGCACCTGCCCCGGGCTTCCTGGAATCAGCCGCTGATCAGTTTCAGCAGCAGCTGACTTGAGGACGCCTGGGGTTCTAAAGGTGAATCTGTATGTAAGTCAGAACTGGCCTCCAGATTCAGCCGCTGTTGAAACTGGTCAGTTTCAGGAGCGGCTGAATCTGGACGCCAGTTCCGACTTACATACAGATTCAACTTAAGAACAAACCTACAGTCCCTATCTTGTACGTAACCCGGGGACTGCCTGTATATGCAATCTTTGGGGGATGGAGGTCTGCAGTGCCTCTGGCTTTAAAAAAAAAAGGGGGTACAGGAAAACTTTTATCATTAAGGAGTGAAGTTACAGATTATTCCTTCCAAGTAGCCTTTTATCCAGCCTGATTTAGCATATACAGTTTTATTGTCTGGAAAAGAAATAAAGGGCGAGAGTGAAAAATATAAGAGAGTCACTGACCTGTGGGAAAAGGGAGTAAGTTGCGTTGTCAATAGTAAAGGAATGTAAAAATTCCCCATCAAACCAGAGGTTCTTTCCCAGCGGAGAGTTCTGTTTTGTCATAGCAAAGAGCTGACTGGGATCACAACAGTCTTCCAGCAGTTTCCTAATAGCAGCAACAAAGAGAAAGAAAGAAACAAATTCATTAGGACTCACTTATGGAAATGTCATAGTGAGGCTTCCCATCTTTACTCGAATCACCACCCAGCTGAGACTATGTACAACTCCAATGCTGTTAAGTCAAGCCTGAATGCAATTACTTCTACTACGAAAGCACCAAACAATAGGAGATTTCTACTCTGAACATTGATAAGATACATTTAATGGACTATTTAGAAAATAAGATAGTTAGACATTCAAATTCCAACCCAGTGAGTTTGCATTGATTACTGCACTTGCAGAGGAAATAATCATTGGCTGTGTCTAGACTGGCAAGTTTTTCCGCAAAAGCACCTGCTTTTGCGGAAAAACTTGCCAGCTGTCTAAAGAAAGAAAGAAAGAAAGAAAGAAAGAAAGAAAGAAAGAAAGAAAGAAAGAAAGAAAGAAAGAAAGAAAGAAAGAAAGAAAGAAAGAAAGAAAGAAAGAAAGAAAGAAAGAAAGAAAGAAAGAAAGAAAGAAAGAAAGAAAGAAAGAAAGAAAGAAAGAAAGAAAGAAAGAAAGAAAGAAAGAAAGAAAGAAAGAAAGAAAGAAAGAAAGAAAGAAAGAAAGAAAGAAAGAAAGAAAGAAAGAAAGAAAGAAAGAAAGAAAGAAAGAAAGAAAGAAAACTAAGGACAATTTTCTACCTATGTAAATGCAGGAAGCACTACTGGCTTGAACAGATTTGCTCCCACTCATGCTACTGCTGAATTTGGATTACTGTCATCTCACAGGTGCAACAGAGAGAGAATTTTTAGACACCAGTTTGCTATGCAGTATCTGCTTTATTGTTGATACAGATGCATGAGCCACAAAGAACCCAGCTTGAGTGTCTGACCCTATTCTAAGTTTGCAGAGCAGGTAATTACTAATCTCCTTTCCCACCAAGCTTTTTAGTTAAGAACTGAGCAAGTTTGATCTGTAAGCCACTCAGAGAATAAATATGGAGCCCCACGGTGTAATTGTTAGACATGCTTTTCAGACCAGAATCACACTCTAATATACTTTGATTTTGATGTATTTTACTCCTACTCCTGTTTTAAACTGCTGTGTACAAAGGTATACTTATGTGCTTTTAGAATATGAATTACAATGTATACATTCTAATATGATTCATTACTAGGCTAGATAAAGCTTTCTAAAATTGTTATGTCAGACAGATGAAGGGCCATATACTTCCTTAGGAAAAAAAATCACAGTAATTTATAGTCATAGCTCAAGAACCCTATGGTAGCACTATTTTAAGCTTTCATCTTCCAGTGAAATCCACCAGAATGGACCTATACACATGCAGGTGGAGTCCCGCTGAAGTCAATGGGACTGTATGTAGAGTCAGGGATATATGCTAATGGAGCCTGATAAAGTACCTAACCCTGAATTTGTAGCAGTTGAGGCCCTGGTGCACACAAGACAGATGTCAGGAATCAATTTCTTTATGCTATAAAGGAGAAATAGGGCTTCACCAGATATTTCTATATTTCAGACAAAAGGCCTCTGCAAGCATCTTACAGCATGAGCTCTCAGGCTCTGATACAAATCTCATTGGAGTCAATAGGAGTCTTCCCACAGTCTTCACTTGCTATTAGATTAGGCCCCTGAAAAGAACACGGACTGTCCAAAAGGAGGTAGTTCTGTAGCCTGCACTCTAGCAAACTTTACCATCTTGAAATGTGTGAAAACTCAGACTATCTACCACATACATGTGTGCACACAGAATCCTCTAACTCCTTTCATGGCTTCTACAGAGGTAGAGATATGAGGCAGCTAGATAGCCATATGTCTGTATGCGTAGTACAGATGAGAAAATGTTAAATTATCAAGTGAACAATCTATAATAGCCATATGTTTTCATGGGCAGAGACAGCTGTGTGCTTAGGAGAGTTTTATCCACCCATGCCTACCTGCCAAAATGCATTGATAAAGAAAACTAAATCTGGAAGAAAAAGCTCATTTATCATCTCACTTTTAGTAAAGTTGGAAAATTTAGCCACGCTATAAAACTACATATATTAAAGCATTACTTTTTAAAATACAGGTAAAAAGAATGACTGAAAGAATTCCAAGCAATGATCTTCAACCTGAGTTTTTTTAAATGACTTACTCTGCAACATCTGTAAGCTGTGAATCATCAGTCATATCCTCATGTCCATATAAAATTCATATACCACCTGAGCAGTGATTACCCCATTTTCGATTGAAGTAATATTTTAATACAACGTAGAGTACTGAAACTATGTAATTTACCATATTGATGGCTGGGTACCACTAAAATCATCTGAATCAAATTCAGTACTTTGGAAGACAGCTGATGTTTGGTATAGCTAAGCAAAGAAAGCTATTTCCGACTGGACTTCAGTCATCTTTCCTTAAATTGACAGATGACTTGCAACAGAGGAAGCTGAGTATTCAGTCAATTACGACTGAAGTTATAACAACACATCTTGAACTTGCATTCCTGTTATGTTTGGGTATGTCTACACTACAGCGCTATTTCGAATTAACGTATTTCGAATTAGTTAATTTGAAATAAGCTAATTCGAAATAACGCATCTAGACACAAAATCTAATTTGAAATAGTGTTTTGCTATTTCGAAATAGCGCGTCCACACTGATTGGATGCTGGCTCGCATTTAAGGGCAGCTGAAACCGGTTCCAGCAGGGCATCAGGTCAGTAGTTGCTTTGTGTGGCTGCTGTCTGAGGCTATCTGAGGCTCATGCTTAAAGGGACCCCCCTGGACAGCCGGTTCTCAGCTTTCCCGCTTGCTTGCCTATCTCACCGAGGGACAGCAAAGCATTTTCCTCTCCGCCTGCTTTGGGCGCTCCCGTTTGGGACATCGCAGCACTCGGCACCACGGAGCCAGAGCCTCCTCTGGGCACTCTGGTGCTCATGTTGAATGTCTTGCTGAAAGCCTGGGAGCAATTGCTGGAGGCTGCCTGACACCTTCTGCTGCAGGCTAGCCCCCTGGCCCTCCGCCTACCCCCCTGGGGGCCTTGGAGGAACAGTGCCCGGATGCCAGCGTGCCCTGCCCCATCTGGTGTCTGGACACCAGCAGCGACTGGTGGGACCACATTGTCCTGGAGCACTGGGGAGAACAACAGTGGACCCAGAACTTCAGGATGAAGAAGGACACCTTCCTGGAGCTCTGCGAGTGATTTGCCCCTGCTCTGCGGCGACGGGACACATGCATGAGGCCCACCATTCCCCTCCACAAGCAGGTGGCCATCGCCTTCCGGAAGCTCTCCCCACTGGATAGCT